GGTGTAACGGAACGAATTGCTAGGCACCTCAAGAAGAACGACATCGTAGTGCGGTACGGCACGGTCAGCAAAATTCGGAACACACTCCCGATAGCCAAGGACAAACTAACTCCATTAAAAGGAGCGGGAGTCTATCGACTATCGTGTAGTTGTGGGAAGGTTTATGTTGGCCAAACTGGACGCAACGTCGAGTGCCGCATCAAGGAGCATGAGAGGGATGTAAGGCTGAAGAAGATCCAGCAGTCGGCGGTTGCGGAACATTGCCATGCAGAGGGGCACCGAATAGACTTCGAACAAACAAAGGTGCTGGCTAGGGACAACAGATACTACCAAAGACTGACAAGAGAAGCCATAGAGATTCACCGACATAAAAATAACGTCAACAGAGAGGATGGCTGGGAGCTTAGCAGAACATGGAAGATGGTGGTGAACACGAAGACCTCTTCCCGCCTCACACCGGACGCGACGCAATTAGTTATTAATTAGTTAGTAATTAGCGTTAACTGATTATTAATTAGTTTTTCCGACTTATATATAATTACCGATTTTTTGATCTCGTCACTTCGAACCAGTTTCTGAAGAAGGTTGCAACATGGCACCCGAAACGTCAAACCTTTTATTAAAAGACGCACGGCAAAACCCGAAAGTTTCTAGTGTTAGTTTTAGGTCTAATCTTAGTTTAATTAAATGTTTGAATTTATACGTTTTCTTACACTTTCAAGTTTAAGCAACTAAAACACTTTTATAAACAACTTTTGAAATAGAATCGTATTTTTTATGTAAATCTACACCCTTTTTACAGTTTCCCTTATAAATTGGCAAAGTCCAATTCGATATTTAAAAACGTTATGATTTTTTATAACAAAAAACGTTGATTTTCGACACTTTTTGAATTAATCACCCAATATTTAATCACGAATATTTTAATAGCAATTTTGGGAATAATTTCGCTTCTTTTAATCGAATCTGCACACGCTTAAGTATAATTCCTAAAAATTTCATAATTCCAAAACAATTATTAAATATGTTATAAATTTTTATAAACTTAAATGTTTTTTTGAAAATTAAATTTCAAATAAAAATGATTAAAAATATAAAAATGAATTTCAAAATTTCAATTAAATTTTTGACGTTTTCTTATACTTTCAAGTTTAAGCATCTAAAACGTTTTTAACAACAACTATCGAAGTAAAATTGTATTTCTGATTTATATCTACACCCTTTTTAGAGTTGTCCTTAAAAATTTGGAGATTTCAATTCGATGTTTAAGAAAGTTATGATATTTTTAATCTAAATATTTAATCAAAAGGTACCAAAACATTTTAATCTCAAATATAGGAATAGTTTCGCTTCTTTTAATCGAGTTTGCATACTTTTTAGTATAATTCCTGAAAATTTCATGATTCCAAATCGATTATTAAATAAATTATGGACTTTTACAACGTTAAATGTTTGAATTTTGAGGTGTTCTTATACTTTCAACTTTAAGCACCTAAAACATTTTTATAAACAACTTTTGAAACAGAATCGTATTTTTTATTTAAATCTACGCCCTTTTTAAAGTTTCCCTTAAAAATTTGATGATTCCAATTCGATATTTAAAAAAGTTATAATGTTTTTTAACAAAAAACGTGGATTTTCGATACTTTTGGGTTTAATCACCCAGAACATATTAATCCCAATTTAGGGAACAGTTTTGCTTCGTTTAATCGAATCTGTATACGTTTTAGTATAATTCCTGAAAATTTCATGATTCTAAACCGATTATTAAATAAGATATGAATTATTATAACATTAAATGTTTGAATTTTTGATGTTTTCTTATATTATCAACTTTAAGCACCTAAAACTTTATTATAAACAACTTTTGAAGCAAACTGGTATTTCTTATTTAAATCTACAATCTTTTTAGAGTTTTCCTTAACAATTTGAAGATTCCAATTTATTTAAAAAAATTATAATTTGTTATAACAAAAAACGTTGATTGGCGATACTTTTTGATTTAATCACCCAGAACATTTTAACTTCAATTTTGGAAACAGTTTTGCTTCTTTTAATCGAGTCTGCATACATTTTAGTATAATTCCTGAAAATTTCATGATTCCAAATCGATTATTAAATAAATTATGGACTTTTACAACGTTAAATGTTTGAATTTTGACGTTTTCTTATACTTTCAACTTTAAGCACCTAAAACGTTTTTATAAACAACTTTTGAAACAGAATCGTATTTTTTATTTAAATCTACGCGCTTTTTAAAGTTTCCCTTAAAAATTTGATGATTCCAATTCGATATTTAAAACAGTTATGATTTTTTATAACAAAAAACCGTTGATTTTCGATACTTTTTGATTTAATCACTCAGAACATATTAATCCCAATTTTGGAAACAGTTTTGCTTCGTTTAATCGAATTTGCATACGTTTTAGTATAATTCCTGAAAATTTCATGATTCCCAACCGATTATTAAATAAGATATGAATTATTATAACATTAAATGTTTGAATTTTTGATGTTTTCTTATATTATCAAATTTAAGCACCTAAAACTATATTATAAATAACTTTTGAAGCAAAATGGTATTTCTTATCTAAATCTACAACCTTTTTAGAGTTTTCCTTAAAAATTTGAAGATTCCAATTCGAAGTTTAACAAAGTTATGATTTTTTATAACAAAAAACTTTGATTTTTGGTACTTCTTGATTTAATCACCCAGAACATTTTAATCTCAAATATGGGAACAGTTTTGCTTCTTTTAATCGAATCTGTACACGTTTAAGTATAATTCCTAAAAATTTCATAATTCCAAACCAATTATTAAATATGTTATGAATTTTTATAAACTTAAATGTTTGAATTTTTGACGTTTTCTTATACTTTCAAGTTTAAGCATTTAAAACGTTTTTATAAACAACCATTGAAGCAAAATCGTATTTCTGATTGAAATCTACCCTTTTTAGAGTTTTCCTTAAAAATTTTGAGATTCCAATTCGATGTTTAAGAAAGTTATGATATTTTACAACAAAAAAACGTTGATTTTAGATACCTTTTAGTTTAATCAAAAGGTACCAAAACATTTTTAATTTCAAATATGGGAACAGTTTCGCTTCGTTAATCGAATCTGCATACCTTTTAGTATAATTCCTGAAAATTTCATGATTTCAAACCGATTATTAAATAAGATATGAATTATTATAACATTAAATGTTTGAATTTTTGATGTTTTCTTATACTATCAACTTTAAGCACCTAAAACTTTATTATAAACAACTTTTGAAGCAAAATGGTATTTCTTATTTAGATCTACACCCTTTTTACAGTTTCCCTTATAAATTGGCAAATTCCAATTCGATATTTAAAAACGTTATGATTTTTTATAACAAAAAACGTTGATTTTTGATACTTTTTGATTTAATCACCCAGAACATTTTAATCTCAAATATGGGAACAGTTTTGCTTCTTCTAATCGAATCTGCATACTTTTCAGTACAATTCTTGAAAATTTCACGATTCCAAATCGCTTATTAAATAAGATATGAATTATTATAACATTAAACGGTTGATTTTTCGACGTTTTCTTATACTTTCAACATTAAGCACCTCAAAAATTTGTATAAGCCACTTTTGAAGCAGAATCGTATTTCTTATTTCAATCTACACCCTTTATAGAGTTTTCCTTAAAAATTTGAACACTCCAATTTGATATTTAAGAAAGTTATGATTTTTTACAATAAAAAAAACGTTGATTTTCGATACTTTTTGATTTAATCACCCAAAAACACTTTAGTTTCAATTTTTGGAACAGTTTCGCTTCTATTAATAGAATCTACACACTTTTTAACATAATTCCTGAAACTTTCATGATTCCAAACCGATTATTAAATGTTATGAATTTGTATAACATTAAATGCTTGAATTTTAACAATTTCTTGTACTTTCAACTTTAAGCACCTAAAACGTTTTTATAAACAACACTTGAAACAGAATCGTATTTTTTATTTAAATCTACACCCTTTTCAGAGTTTCCCTTAAAACTTTGAAGATTCTAACTTAATATTTAAAAAAGTTATGACATTTTATAACAAAAAACGTTGATTTTTGATTCTCTTTAATTTAATCACCCAGAACAGTTTAATCTCAATTTTGGGAGCAGTTTCGCTTCTTTTAATCGAACCTACACACTTTTTAACATAATTCCTGAAAATTTAATGATTCCAAACCGATTATTAAATAAGTTATTAATTTATATAACATTAAATGTTTGAATTTTTGCAGCTTTCTTATACTATCAACTTTAAGTACCTAAAACGTTTTTATAGACAGCTTTTGAAGCAGAATCGTATTTCTAATTTAAATCTACACTCTTTTTAGAGTTTCCCGTAAAAATTTGAACACTCCAATTTGATATTTCAGAAAGTTATTATGATTCTTTATGATAAAAAACGTTGATTCTCGATACTTTTTGATTTAAACATCCAGAACATTTTAATCTCAATTTTGGGAATAGTTTCGTTTCTTTTAATGGAAACTGCATACTTTTTAGTATAATTCCTGGAAACTTCATGATTTCAAACCGATTATTAAATAAGTTATTAATTTTTATAGTTATAAAATTTGAATTTTTGGCGTTTGTTTATACAATAACTTTAAGCATATAGAATTCCGCAATTTTTTTATTCAAAATAGAAAATTAAAGTAACTTTTTATATTTCACCAATAAATTATAAATAAATTTAATTTATATGAAATAATTAAATAAATAATTAAATTATATTAATTCTCCAACAGATGTCGCCACTTTACAAATCCTAAAAACACAAATAAATTAATTAATCCCTTTTAATAAAATAAAAATTTTATTTAAAACAATCAATTAAAGCAACATTTATTCCCCAACTTATTTCCCCCAAAAATTATAAATAAATATAATTAATATTAAATAAATAATTAACTTACAAAATTTTATCAGAAGATGTCGCCACGTTACATAACCTCAAAATATAAATAAATCAATAAATTCTTTAAAAGTGTTTAAAAATGGGTTCTGAGCAATCAAATTTACGCCAAAATAGCTTGCACAGCGATAAACAACCAAATAATGTGTTACGCAAACAGCATACAATCGCAAATCCAGAGTCAAGTAATGATGTGGAGAGACCCGGATCAACATCTCCGGGCCCCAGTATTTGTAGCGATTCCGATTTACCCTACATTAGTTACACCGTAAATCGCCCAATAGGAGATTCCCCCAAACTAACTAACAAGCAAATAAACAAATCGAAACCAGTACAGCGGAAATTACAACAAAAAAACATCAAAAAGTCTTCGACTCATAGCATCGTTGTTGTAAAACCAGCCCTTGTAGGGCCTAACGTTGAAAGAGATCCCGACATTTTAAAACTACAAGTAAATACTTCACCCTTTAAGTGATACTTATTTAATTTGATTATTTTGTTTAAGAGTATCCCAATGTTTTTACCGATAATGCGAGCAACTTTAAATCTCCCCGCAGCGAGAGATCCGGAAGTTTTAGAACGTTTGGATCCGATCCCGTTGACAAAACTTTGTTTGCGCTATCAAGATCATTTAAATTCGTGCGCAACTTTAGTTTCAACCGAACAAAATCAAATTACACAACGGATTAAAGAAACGGACGCTGAAATCCAAGGGATTATGTCCGTCGCGACTGACCGGCAAAAGAAATATTCGCGATACGCCGAACGATTAATGAAAATCCAAGAGTTATCGCACCAATTAAATCGGTGTCATATGATTTTGAATCAAACTTTGGAGTCGATTGAGACGTTGAATGATTATTTGGACATTGAGGATCGTTTGGAACCGTTTGTGTGGACGACTGGGTGATAATTAAATTAATGTGGAAACTGTAACATAATTTAGGCAGCAAATGAGGTTCTGGTGACTGATTAAGAGATGTGTATATAGATTTTGATATAGAGATGTTGTTTTATTTGCTAAAAATTATGATTTAATATTTCCATTCTTGTTCTTTGAATTATGACGTGTAATTTTATTCCCAGGCCATTAATCCTGTATATTAAGGGAGGTTTCTACCTTGTTAGGTCAAAAAAAAAGTACGCGTGTGAAGTTGGCCATAGATTTTAAACTGAAAAAAATGCGTGATCGGGGTATTCAATCGATCTAATTTCAACAGCATCGTATTCCCGGTGGCTTCTTGCTTCAGATTCGGAAAGAAAATTTTCCTAACCATTTCTTATTTTTCGGGAAAATCGATTTTCTTCAAACTTTCGCAAAATTCGGCTCGTTCAGTGTTTTTAATCGATCTAATTTCTACGGCATCGTATTCTTGGTGCCCATTTACTTCAGATTCAAAAAGAAAATTTTCCTAACCACTTCTTATATTCCGGGAAAATAGTTTTTCTTCAAACAATCGCAAATTTCGGTCTGTTCGGGGTTTCTAATCGATCTATTTCAACGGCATCGTATTCCTGGTCGCCTATTGTTTCAGATCCGAAAATGAAATTTTTCTAACCATTTCCTATATTCCGGGGCTTTTATTCGTTGTCTAAGAAGCCTACCTTAGTCGGGAACTATGTCTCACAGCTTCTTAACTTGCGCCCCGCAGAATCTCCATAACCGAAGTACACTTAGGCATTTTGACGAATCCCAGCTATGGCATGAAAACCTCGGGACGTTTACCTACCTGTCGCGCTGATATATTACTGCACCGATTCGAAAGACTGATTAACACTAGAACTACCAAGAGTTGTTGTATAGTTGAGGAAATATAAAAATGCAGAGAAAAGTTTTAAATACAGGGTTCCCTATAATAGGCTACCCATTTCGAAATTTGAATTAAAATTTTTTTAGTTAACAAAACAAACTTTTTATTATACTAAATTACAGCTAACTTTTTGGGATTTATGATAACTTATAAATATTTGGCTAATTTAATTCTAACTTTTAAAAATCACGTCTTCTAATTGACCTCCACCAACTTCAACACATTTTTCAATATTAGATAAAAAGTGGTTCATTACACGGCGTAGCAAACCTTCGTCTATTCCTTCAACTTCTTCACGAATTTTGACTTTGAGTTCCTCGATTGTACCTGGACGACTCGCAAACACTTTGGCTTTTAAATATCCCCACAGGAAAAAATCGGGTGCCGTTAAGTCGGGGGACCTCGAAGGCCAAGGTAAATCTCCGAATCGAGAAATGAGTCGACCATTAAACATTTCTCGCAGAACCCTCATTGAGTTTCTGGCGGTTTGAGCTGTTGCCCCATCTTGTTGGAATAGTAAGGGATTGTTTAGTAATCCTCGTCTATTTAATTCTGGAATGAGGAATGTCTCTAGCATGTTTACGTAGCGCTCGGATGTTACTGTTACAGCGCGGTTATTTTCATCCTCAAAAAAATATGGACTCATGGTTCCAAACCAATCTCAAAGGAAGGTATGAATGTTTATAACAAAATATTTACTGTATTCCATTTATGATGAAATCTACACACGTTTTAATGTAATTCTTAAAATATTCGTGATTGTAACTTAATTATTTTAAAAGTTATGTTGTTTTTATTTGTCTTTAACCTTAAGTTATAAACGTCTACCTACATGGGTTGTAATACTAAATTATGATTAAGTTTACTGTTTAAAAACAAATGGATATAAAGTAGGTTATGCCTTGATCATCTTATTTTTCTCCCCTGAGCAGTAAAACCGCCGCTTGTCTTAATTCCCATCGCATTTTGTCTTTTCAAGATCCCGCACGATGCGGAGACTATGGAAATATAAATAAGGGGTTGCGAAAAATGCAAATAACGAGCGTCGCGACTGTCGCGGCGTACTTGCAACCCTCTCCGAGATAATTTCCAAGGTTCGCAATTCCTCTGGCCCGTCACAATAAATTAGATTTATACGCGCGGCGATGTAAGATTTAAATAAGGATTTATGCGCCTTTCGGTATCGGATTTGAGCCGGGGGCGAAGCGTCGACGAAAGAGGATGGAGGGTAATTTCCCAGGTGAACGTTTCGAAAGCGCGAGCCTAATTCCCGATTTATGGAAATTTTTATTACCCAAACGATTGCGCTCCTTTTAGACTTTCAACGGCGACGACAACGTCGACGTCTATTAACGTTACCAAAACCATTCGATGACTTAAAAGCTAACTAATCAAACGTAAAAATTTTGAAATGAAAAATATAATAAATGCTTGCACAAGAAGGAAAATAAGATTTTTCTTCATACTAATACCTTATTTTTGTGTCAACTGTGGCGTTATTATTAATGGCATACTTTTTGTGGTAATATATCTTGTGTGAAACTGCGACGACGTTTCGCTGACCATCGTTCGAGGATAATAAGCTCAGAGAAGCGGTCGGCACGGCAATAACTTTTTGCCAACTATAGAAATTTGGTATCGGAGATATCTACGTAGAGAACGCGACGTCGACCGTTGGAAGTTAATTGAATTTCGTCGGACACAGACAATTATATCACGTCCGAGCGAACCGGACGTTAAATATAAGTGTTATGGTTAACCTTATCTGAATTTACTTTTATTAAATCGTGCGATTCAAACGTATAATTAAGATATTTCCGTGTAGATAGAAATGAATTCAAAAAATGACTTAAATGTAAATTTCATGTTTTTGGTGGAGGAGCCGGTTTCATAAAGAAATATCTTAAAAATAATGAGAAAATTGTAAAGAATCTGTTTTAGTAGAGGCATTATTGAAGAGCTGTTAATTCATGCAGAATCTCTTTCTTCAAAATGAGAATTTTAGAGAGGAGTAGAGGTCCTTTAAGGAGATTTAAAAGTTCTTCGGCTCCCGGTCGCATAAACCCGTCGAGCCGGTTAATGCGGCAGCCACTGTGGCGAGGTTCGTAGTTATGGTCGCGAGATAATGGTACGCCAGAGAGACCTAAAACGGACCCACCCAACGAAAATCGTACAATTTTAAAACTTTCTGCGTCAGCTACCCCGTTGTTGGTGCCTTCGCCCCCTTTTACTCAAAAGCCTGTTACAGTTAACGTTCGTTGTCGCTACCCAAAACATTTTATTGTGCTAACGAGGCGTTATACAATGGCGGCGATAGGAAATAATGTTTGAAATACCTTTAAAATTTTAAAAATAAATTTTTTTTAATTATTTGCTGTCGCAAAATAGCTTTTTAATTAGCCTCCGGTGCGGCTGAAATTACCCGGATTCCGGATTTGAGGGGCGGAGCGTACAAAACAACCACCGATCCAGGGCGTGCTCGCTTATGATTTAAAGTGGCTTTTGGGATTAATTACCTCCAGGTTTACATAATAACAGGGCAGTTATTTGTCTGGACCAACGAAGGCCGGTGGTTTGAGGGAATGAAGTGGGAGGAAAAATTATCGAGCCCCGTCTCTGTCGACAGCCGGTCCCCTAGCTATTATTAAAATTTTAATAACTCATTGAAACTTTTTTCCGGGCTCGCCGGCGCGGCAGAAATTCTCGCTGACGCCGCGGCCGTAATTTCGACAAATATTCCCCGAAAGGCCGTTTTCCATTTTTTTTTTAACTCGCTGCGAACGCGTGGAAAGTTTTCGCAAATTTTTTTAATTTATTCATGAAAACCTACCGTTGCGTTTGTCTCTCTAAATGGGGGCATTCTCACAAATACAATAATTAGAATACTTATATTATGATTTACATTCTTTTAACATAATATATATTGAATCCAATTTTTGAATGCATGAATGCCCAGGAACAGGAAATTTGAAAACATTTTTTTTAATTTCTTTGTAGAACACGTAAAATTACAAACCTTATACTCGATCTATTGCGATTTTGGGCCAACTCTCTCAACAACAAAAGTTTTCCGCGCCATTTAAAATTCTGTATAATGCACGCAATATCATTACCGTGAAGTGCTTCAGATCAAATTGTACAGGTTCCCCATAATAGGCTACCCATTTTGAAATTTGAATTAAAATTTTTTTAGTTAACAAAACAAACTTTTTATTATACTAAATTACAGCTAACTTTTTGGGATTTATGATAACTTATAAATATTTGGCTAATTTAATTCTAACTTTTAAAAATCACGTCTTCTAATTGACCTCCACCAACTTCAACACATTTTTTAATATTAGATAAAAAGTGGTTCATTACACGGCGTAGCAAACCTTCGTCTATTCCTTCAACTTCTTCACGAATTTTGACTTTGAGTTCCTCGATTGTACCTGGACGACTCGCAAACACTTTGGCTTTTAAATATCCCCACAGGAAAAAATCGGGTGCCGTTAAGTCGGGGGACCTCGAAGGCCAAGGTAAATCTCCGAATCGAGAAATGAGTCGACCATTAAACATTTCTCGCAGAACCCTCATTGAGTTTCTGGCGGTTTGAGCTGTTGCCCCATCTTGTTGGAATAGTAAGGGATTGTTTAGTAATCCTCGTCTATTTAATTCTGGAATGAGGAATGTCTCTAGCATGTTTACGTAGCGCTCGGATGTTACTGTTACAGCGCGGTTATTTTCATCCTTAAAAAAATATGGACCAATAATACCAAAAGATCCTACTCCACACCACACAATAACTTTTGGATTATGGAGGTTCTGTGTAAAGATTTCACGAGGATTTTCATTTGACCAGTATCTAAAATTCTGTTTATTAACCATGCCGTTCAAATAAAAATTTGCTTCGTCGCTCATTAGGAGATTGTGGAGCAATTCACAATTTACTTGATGTAAATCCAAAAATTCTTGACAAAATGCTAACCTTGCTTCTTTATCTTGATTGCTAAGGTGCTGTACCATTTGGTACTTATAGGGATGAAATTTTAAATCCTTTCGAATAATTCGATCTAAGCTTTCCTTTGATATTCCTAGGATGAGGCTTTGTCGATTAGCAGACCTTTTAGGACTTCTTGTAAACGCAATTCTAACTCGTTCAATATTATCTGGTGTACGAATCTTCGACGTCCAGGCTTCTTCAAATCTTGTACAGAACCATTTTCACGCCAATGACGAACCCATAACTTAACAGTTTTACGATTTGGCGTGTGACCCCTATTGTTGTTATTAAACTGACGCCGGAATGGACGCCTAACTTCTTCTATCGAATTGCTTCTAATGTAAGTTTCTACACAAAACACACGTTGTTGGACTGAGTAATCCATGAAAGTTCAAACAGATGTTGAAAAAAAATGACGAAACTAAAAATAATATCGAATATTATCTCGATAATAATAATTAATAATTTAAAACTTATTTGTGACAGGCGACTACTTGATTAATAATTAACTTAAATCCCAAAGACTACAGAAGATATTCCCACAGAGAAAAACTTATTTAGTTATCTCATAGGGAATTTATTAATAAAATAAAATGGGTAGTCTATTATGGGGAACCCTGTACTATCTTATTATCGTTATATGATGCATGCGTCGTTATGATATATGCATTTGGTTTACATTTCTAGCAGAAATTCAAATACCATATTGCTTTTCCGCTATTTATGCCTTTTTTTATTCTCAACTCTCATTAACTTGTTCTCATGTAAATCTTTTTCATACTCATCTCGTCCATACACGATTTGATGTATAATTTATTTATTTATTTATTTTACTTCCGAAATTACAGGGTTGCCCCTAATTACAAATTTCAGAACTTAAGTCTACTAGTACATAATATAACCAACAAAAATAACAAAACAACCAAGATCAAGCATAAATGTTAATTAACCCATCACAGAACGCGCGGAGGATATATTGAACCAAAACTTTAAAAAATGAATAGAATTACATCACAAATTACAGAATTCAATGACAAAAATCAAGTTTGGCTACTGGGTGGCTGCAGCACTTATCAAAGGTGTCAAATGTTGTATTAACGATCTAATACCAATGCCAAACAGAGGTATGAAGGAAGAAGCCGACAGTGTGTTGTACAGTGAAAGGATTCTAATAAGAGGAGAATTTCGTCTCAGTTCAGTTGAAAACCGAGGAATATAGAAAAGATTCTTTAGCCTACCACAATATGCAGGCGCATAGAAACCAATATTTTCTAATATTAATGGAGCATTTATACTATTATTCAACATTTTATACAGAAAACAGAGTGATATAATTTTTCTTCTGAGAGACAACCTGGTGATCTTAAATAATTTGCGTGCAAATTCGTACGATCTAAAACCAATGAAAACACGGAATTTTTTGTAGTAGAGATACCTAATGAATTTATTTTGAATAGTTTCTATTAAATTAGAATAAAGAATTGACCCGGGATCCCATACTATTACCGCATATTCCAGCTTAGATCGCACTAAAGAATTGAACAGTAATTGCAGAGTCTGTAAGTTTGAGAAACTGTACCCATTTCTAATGATAAATCCTAAGAGACGCAAAGCTGTGGTTGCTGTGGCTTTAATATGTTCTTTAATATAATTAACAAATTTAAAAAAAAACTGGGTTATTTATGGGCAGTAAGTCTCTTGTGCATTAACGTATCGACCTTTCTTGTGAAAATACCGCTGCTATAAACGAGTGTTACCAAAAACCGGGAACATTAATTTCGAGATCCCTACATATCTCTACAAGCTGGAAGTAAGGATCAGTTGAGCCAGGAAGTTAAACCAACAGACCATGCCAAGTTGTTCAATGAGTTCAAAACAGTCTGCTCACGTAGCAGAAAATGACGAACCACTGAGAACAGAATTAACTTTTACTGATATATGTAAAACCAATTTGGGAGATAATATACCTTGGAACTATATTTTGTTCCAAGGTATTAGAACTATAGTGAAATGATGTAAAAGAGATGACACAACATGCAAAACGGTACTGGATTCATGGCAAATATTGTTCTCTGATGAAATGTAAATCACAAAGCACCACGAAGTGATGGAATAACATCATCTGATCATCGGATTAATATCAATATGGATCAAAGAGAATATCCCATATAATTGAACCGTTGAAGTTATTCAGCCATTCTGATCAAATATTCGTCTTTCTACAAGTACAAGATAAAATAGTGTAGTGCTAGGAAACGAGAAATGGTAAATGACCTCCTCCTATTAGAAATATCGGTGAAATATGTCAGATTAACAGAAGCACCCTGTAGCAATAAAAAAAGGGTTTACCTAAATTACAAAAGACAGAACACAAATATGTTGGATAGGTACGGGCTCCAGGTCACTCAATGGAGACGGGGGGGGTAACGATGTTAATAAAAGGCGCGACACGAACTTATACCGATACCCACCAACTTAATTTCCCTCGGACAGCTAGCTAAGTTCGAAACCAAGTCGAGAGGTTTAGACAAAACACACAAAAAGACAAACTCCTGCAGTTGAGATTTGAAACTATGTATATTGAATAATAAGATAAATTATTAGAAAAGAAACATTGGGTTTCATAAAATATATTGGTTTATGACCAATAAAGAGAACTATTAAATTAAATTTGAATATGATAAACAATTTAAAAAAAGGAAAACCTGACCGCTCTAAAGATTCTCCAAAAATAGAATCAAAATTATAACCTGAAAAAAGAAAGAAAATACACAATAATTGAGTCAGTTGAGTCAATAATGTATGGACACTCCTTCGGTGCAAAAAAAATCGAGCGAACAGGTGAACAAAACAAATTAACAATAAAATTATGAAAAATTAATTAATTTTTTTAATTAAGTACTAAATCAACAAAAGAATGATTAAACAAAAGTTTTCAGAAATTAGCCTATCTTTAAATTATATCAGTTGTTGTCGTTGTTGTTGTTGTATGGATGGGTACTTATAGCCACGTTCTTTTAGTTGGCGTCTCTGATACGCATCAGAATTATACCAGGATCTCCAAAATTTTACAATTCAACAAAAATCACAGGAATCGATGCCAATAAAGAGGAAAAAGCCTAAAAGGAAACAAAACTAAGAGATCGAGCTCTGGAAATATTAATTAGTACATTATTTTCATTACCTTGAGTTATTAAACGGCTAAACGTGTATAACAAAGCCAAACCAGGAAAGCCGGAACAAAAATCCGATCACGCCAATAACAATTGGTCAAAAAATTATGTAGAACAAATCCGAATAACTCTACCAGAAGATCTCCAAAATGAAACACTGAGATTCTCTAACAAAACTTCTATCACCACGCGGTAAGCTTTCTTACAAATTCGCAACTGTACGACACCAATGCTCGATAACAAAAGAGGAAGAGGAAGCGTGGTACGGAAGAATGTATCCGCGTCCCCACCCCTAAAATTAATAGATCTTAAAAAGAGATCGACAAATCTACCAATGAAATTAATGTACCCATCATCACACTTGATCAACCTCAACACTAGAAAAGGTCCGAAATAAAAGAAAATAGAAATCAAACGATGAAAACGAACGTTACAACCCTTAGTAAGAGTAAGAATTCGGATTGGAGACTAATGAACCAACTAGGAGAGATAGTCCGAGAAAAATACGATATATATGATATATGATGTGGAGAATGGGAAAATTAAGAGGTGGAGACGGTTGTATGGTGAGAGGACAGAATGGAAGAAGATCATTGAACAGGTTAAAACCCACAAATCCGACAAATTATCTTGATGTATTGCCCAGGACGCAGCAATAGATACCATATTGATATAACTTTGACAACATATCCTCGGCTTAATAACACGCTATTTCGTTAACTATGCGGAATACGCTTGTGGTCGAACCATTGCAATATGTTTTGTCTAAAATTGTATCAATTAATTGTAACACCTCGGTCATAGAAGTTTAGACCACTTCTAAACTTCTGAAGGAATTCGTGAAATTTTATCGTTGATGAGCATGCCTATATTGACATAATTTTGGAAAGAAATAGTGTTTTGCCTGGGCCTAAAAACCACGGAGTCGAAAATTTTTAAAATCATATATATTTTATGTAGAAATTTTCAATGAATACAGTAAACTGACGAGAATTGACTTTTCAAGTTATACCGAGATTTACTTATTCTGAGTTTATCTTACGACTGTTGAACCGGCTCTTAAACTAGTAACTAAACCAAACGTACTTAGACCGACTTTTACCACCTCTTGATAAAAATTATTCCATAGATAAATCCAGTTCTTAGCTAATGGGAGCGCTTAAAACTGTTATAACCATGGGAACTATCCCCTAGATAGTTTATCAGGAGATTGGTAAAAGTGAGCATTATTGTTTCAAGTACTTAGCATTTAAGGTTACTTTAGCAAGTATATCATTTCCCCTATATTTATAAAACTTTTCATGTCTTAGCTTTATATTACACTGTAGGAATATCATCTTGGTTATTATATCAATTCCTAGTTTATTCCTCTTTTTGGCTCATAGTGCACACATTCTTTAATATCTCTCTTCTTACCTTACATGTAACAAAGTGGTTACGAAGTATGTATCACTATACTTTCTATTTTCTAATGAGATGCGTAATAAATCTGTATCACGATGTACGGAATTATTGAAAATATGAACAACACAATACTTAGTACTTAAATACTAAGGAACTAAAATAATAAGTTTAGAATCAGTTGTACAACCATGTTTATTATTGTTTTCCTTAGATTGATTTCGGCTCCAAGCAAAACTCGAGTAGACAATTTATACTTTCGATATTTAATAAATAATCAAAACTAATCTTGCTCAAAAATCAATTACTTACCATTTAATACGTGAACTATTATTGTTTTAGGATTCGCATTGGATGGGTCACACGTATACTTTCCAGAATCGGATTCGGTGGCCCTTTGAACCAAAAGATAACTAACGGTGATTTCTCCCTTCTCGGTGATGACGTTGACACCGCCACGGGGCGAGTCGTAATTTATTTCCTGCAACAGAAAACGACGGTTATTTTTCAGAAATGACGACGGCCATTAATCCGCAACGGTAAGCGTTATTTTCGACGGCCGGCGTCTCTCAATTACACCAGGTGTCGTCATCATTATCGCCGAGAGCGTCGCCTCCACAGCGTATTTACGAAGGTCTTTTGATATTTCAACCGATTCTATCAAACCGTTATAAATTGATTTGAACTCGAGGGGACAATTTCGTTCGAAAAACCTATAACGAATCAACTACATCGAATGAATGGGTATTTTTCAAATTAATGATATTTACAATGTGTTAATAAATACCACAAAGTTTATCTGTACATAGAGTTTTAATTACACGTTACTCGACAAAGCAATTTCGAACAAGTTCATGTTTACATCTTAAACAATCGCTGCACTTCCAAGTTTTGGCTGCAGAGAAGCCCTCGGCTGTTGACTCGATTTACACCGAACTTCGATAACGGGAATCAAAAACTCTTAAGTTTAATTAGTGTTCGGTATCGATGAGACAAAATAGACTTGAAACTTTTGTTTCCGTGGTTATCTTTTCTGCACGTTTAAATAAACGAGGTATATAGTATTTATTCCACTACTCCTTCAACTTTTATTTATTATCCCAACACACATATTTCAGGGGAGAAGCAGTATTTTTTGTGTCCCCCCATTCTTTATGATTTACGATCCGCTCCGTCTTGACACCTTTAGGATTGGCAGCCACTCTTCTGTTGATTTAACACTTTTTCCCATGTCATTCTACACAGTGACAAGTTATCCTACGTTTTAGGGAAGGTTAATGAAGTTTTTCCTATGTAATTTTTCAGTTTGAAAATAAAGAGAGCTTTTGGCTCGTAAATTACCCTTTTCTTTTAGAGACCCTTCTCTCTCTAAGTCCGATCGACAGCCGGGATGAACGAGTACGTGAATGTAGGGCGAGGCGAACTTTTCGACTTTAAAATATCACCGCAACTTTAAAACGAAGGTTAATTTATATCGAAAATTGGGTCAAAATCGCGAATTAAAAAATGTCTTTAATTAAACTTTTGGATTAGTAACTTTTTTTAATTAATTTTTAAATTCTAAAAACAATCTTAAGAAGTTAAGTACGTTGTTAAAATTCAATTTCCGTCTTTGTATAAATTCGTTACATAATCCTTAAGCGTAAATGCGCGAGAAACGTGCTCACGTTGAAAGCATAAGTTGGCTCCTATTATCCTTACAGGATTAATTAAATGTAGCCCCATCTAGTTACCAGCTTAACGTCGTGATATTAAATTCATTCTTGTCGCGATATTAGTTTTATATGAATATAAATGTACTTTTATACTCATATCACAATATAATTCCATTTATAATAACAATACCATGAAAATATTAATCCATTACTAACAATATACTGTATTGTTTTGATGAAATAAATTAATTGCAATAACTTCAAAGTGAATAATTAAATCCGGTTTATCTCTTTAATTATATAAATATTATTTTTATGTAGGTTTTACTCATTGAGTTTATATTGTAAATAATTCATTTAAAACTACATCAACGTATATAATATAGATTACACACAGTTGACTCATTTTCTCAAACCTTTATTTATATAAAATTTTTTGTTATTTAGGGTATGAAATAAGACATCTTCAGCTTTAATTTGAGACATAAGGCAATTCTTCATATACATAAATAAAGAAGTTATGATTTTTTAAATATGACCCATCTTTAACTAATTTAGCAAGCATCATTGTATTTAATAATTTTGCTTAAAACTTTTTTATATAAAATTTTGTAATATTATACAGGTTTCGAAAGAAGACATCTTCAGCTTTAATTTAAGGCATAAGACATGTTTTTATATTCATAAATAAAGAAGTTATGAGTTTTTACATGACCCATGTTTAACTAATTTAACAAACGTCATTGTATTTAATAATTTTGCTAAAAACTTTTTTATATAAAACTTTTTAATACTATATAGGTTTTGAAAGAAGACATCTTCAGCTTTAATTTGAGACATAAGGCAATTCTTCATATACATAAATAAGTTATGATTTTTTAAATATTACCTACATATGTTTAACCAATTTAGCAAACGTCATTGTATTTAATAATTTTTCTCAAAACTTTTTTATATAAAACTTTTTAATATTATATAGGTTTCGAAACAAGATGTAATTTTTATTTTATTCTTAACATAGTGTCCAACAAAGAAAAAACAATAAAGTAAATGTACAACACTAATTTGAGGGTAATAAAATGACTTTGCAACCTCAACAATGTTAAAACGTTTGGTCGACTGCTCTTTCGAAACTACTTCTTTGTTAGTTTTACGATTTGCTTTATCGCGAAATAAACCGGTGCGCAAGCAAAACGAAACACTCTTTCATTTTCTAATTATTTCCCAAACCAATAATATTGTGTTTATTTTCCTTTCCAATGTAGATATTCTTCTCTTTTATCGAGTGAACCGTATAAAACGGTTATAATTTAAAAGTCGTTCTTAATTAAAGTCGAAAATTTCGAGAAACTCAACGAATACTCGACCGGTTGGAAAATGTTTTTGAAACCTAATTAATGCGAGGAGTCTCAAATTAGCTTGTTGTCAAGGTTGTCGTTTTCTTAATTTATAAATCGAAACGCGCTTTTCAGGTCTTCTCCAAATTCTAATTATTGTCGACTTACCATTGAGTTATGAGTCCAAGTTATTGTTTGAGGCGGCTCCGGACTGTGTTTGATTATACACGTCAGGTTCATTGTACTCCCCTTATTGATGTACATTTCCGGTCCGCCCAGCAGCGTTGTTATGGGCTCTGAAACAAAAGAATTTTTCAGGCTCGGTGAAACAAAGAACCACCATAGGCGAAAGGGAACACAATGGGTGGTGAAGAAAAACGCGTTTAAAACGAAATTGAAAAGTGAAACTTTTTCAGGAGCTCTTTCCCTTTTTTTTTTGGCGGTGCGTAGATTTAGTTGGATAGAGCTTTCTATCACTGAGTTATATAAGATGCTTTTAAGAGCGCGTGTATTCGATCGATCCGATCTCACATTATCCGTTCCACATGGGACCTATTTGTTCAAGAAACCCTTAGAAAATATGTGGCACTTATCGCCTTCGGACCTAGTATGAAAGGGACTTATCTTAAAATGGCATACGTTTAACATCTCCCGATTTTTCTTTTTATCTCTTCCCTTGAACGTTGACTGATTCAGTTTTTCACTAAAATCAATAATGTTACAAAAGGTTTTTTTTTCGAACAAAAAATCAATATGCATTATTATTTTAATGAATAATAGTAACAGGTAAAGAAAATGTACAGTGCGAAGAGAAGAAGTTTCATTTGAAAAATAAACGAAACGGAAATGTTTTCGTAGGGATTTTCGAAGAGAAGGGAGCTTCGAAACGAAACGGGTAGTACAGAGGCTTGAGGTCGTTATCGCGAGAAGCTTTGCATTCGCAAGGAAAGCTTGGATCTTGTCGACGACGTGCAAAAACCCATAAATTGCGACAACGGTTATCAAATTTCCGGCGGGTGTATTCTCAATTTTTCACTGAAATACCGTCGAGCTTGAACTCAAACGTCTAATTACCATAATTTGCATGTTTCAACTAACTTGAATCAAGACGAAATTTACGCCTCTATTCTGTGTTGATTTGCATCGAGACTATGCTTATCGTTGAAAACGTACACAAAAATAAAATGAAAAGAAAGACATTAATTGATAAAATATATAAATAAATATAAATTGAATCCAAAATTTTCAAGTAGTTTCGTTAAAAGGGTAGCGTGTCTTTGCAATATAAACGTACTTTTCACGTCGTTAGTTGATCATCGGTTTCTAACACGCATTTCGATTACGCTACATTGTTCCCCATGGGGCTCTATTCCAAATTGGAAGTCAATTTCATCGTGGGTGCAAGCCCTTGAGGAAACTGAGGGTGTGGTTGGAGAAGATCATGAAGATGAGTTGTTATCACCAATCAATTTTTCAATCTCCGAAATGCTCCGCACGGAAACACGCAATTGCGATTTTCTTTTCTAATTCATTATGATACATTCTTCTAATAATAACACCATCCTTAGACTTCCATCTGATTAAAATTTTAATAATAAAGATATTGTATAATAATAAATACCCCATTTGTTAGTTCTTATTAGTAAAGGTTTTGGGATTCATTAAAATGATGGTTGGCCAAGTCAATTATGTTAGTAAAATTTTAAAGCTACCGTTGTTTTAAGGATGGTCTCAATTCGTGTCTTCGTCATAACGAGGTTTTAGGTTACCCATTTACATTATTGATTTAATTCTTGAATCGGCTGTTGATGACAAAAAAACTTATTTCAATATCGATACGTTAAGATATCTTATGTTTGTTAGATTCGAGTGTTTATAGAACCATTGTGGGTTAAGATCATGTTCTGTTCAAATACAAAACTCTTATACCCCTTATTCTTTGATTTTTATTTTATAACGGTTAGTGACTTTGATGGCAGTGTCGAGGGTTGGGTTGGGACCATCCCTGCTCTTTCCAATCCATGTATCACTCGTTGATGATAAGTAGATCAACCTTAGCTTCGTGTTGTTATTGTAGGAGGAAATTGTCCCAATTTTGCGATGTGATTTTTATTTGTTTTTTTGACACGTTTACTTAATATTACTTTGACTATTTTCGTATATTCCAGCCCCTTGGTGCCAGATTCCTTTCGGACATTGCCTTTCGAATCCCCGATGCCCAAGTAGTTTTTGGACGTCCTATAGATCGTCTTTCGGTTGGACTCCAATACATCGTTTCTTTTTGAAATTTTTTCATATTCCATTCGTTAAACGTGGCCGTACCACTATAATTCTCTTCTTTGCACTTCGTCGACTATTGTTGTCTGAGCCCCTATCATTTTACGTTTATCGGTATTAACAACAGCGATGAAGATGGTGGTATATAATTGTTTAATTATTTTTAGAAATTTTTCACCAAAGAGGGGAGTTTTTGCCATTAATATGATTTTGCCCTTTTGTAATCGACTTTGTATTTTCGTACTACATCTCCAATTGTGGTCAATTTTTGTTCCAAGGTGGGTATAGTTGAGGACATCTCGTGGTCATGAATCTTCTGAGACAGACACGGTGTGTTAACTCAATACGTATAAAAAAGACAGATATTTAATGGGTACCACGGACCGCTAGATGGCACTGTAAGCACAAATTGCTTAACCCTTTGTGTCCCGACGGTACTTTAAAGTACCGGTAATTTTAAACACTCATTTTAAACTGTAGTTATCTATTCGGCGCATTTAGAGCTGTCTGTACTTTCTACTATACAAGTGTATACAAGAAATAATCTGTATAAAAAACGTCGCAATCCGCACTGTAGGATTTTTAGGTACACTTTAAACTTATTCATCCAGATGTGAGGTTAGAAGTTTAGTGAAAAGTGGTGCTGTTGAATTTTGTTGTTCAAGAAGGTATTTCTTTGATAAATGGTTATTAGGTGTGATTATTACACATCATTTTAAAAAGAAAACATTGAGCTTAAATTGAAAATAAGTCTCATTCCTTAATTTCTATAAACATGGTTTCTAAGAATTTTTAAATTAGCAT